AAGGTATTTTTTTTTAAAGAATTAGTTCATTTATTCATTCCATTTATTTCATTCAGAATTCATTCGTTTTACTCATATATGTTAGTATTCTTTGAAGTCATTAATCACGCTTGTAGTATTTTATGAAATTTTCCGGAATGATAATTACAGATGCTAATTACAGAATAAATCAATTTATCCAATATTGTAGTTTTATAGGACAACTAATACCAAGCTTCTGTTAACAAAATTTAGATAACTTTTATGACAGGTATGAGTTAAAGATATGTCGTTTTTTTCTATATCTATAGCTAGTTTACTTATCTCATCATATACTGTATAATTAACGAACACCTGCTGCTATTAAGAAAATTAAAATAACGTGATTTAATCTTGTTTTATCTCACCTCACTTTAAAAGTGAAAGGGATGAGACAGGCGTAATAAGAACAGTTAGAACTTTACATCTATTTTGCATATGATTTTATTAGATAGATTTCAGTTGAATAAACTGAATTAAGTTAGTCACGATTTTGAATAATTATATGATTGGTTAATCACAATTACTGGGTGTTAATTGTGTTATCGGGACACAATTTGATTGGGCATTATAAGAATTATATTAAATTGTAATTTATTCAGTGTTCCTTTTCTGGTGTTTTTTGCAGTGATCTTTAGTAACAACTAGTGTATTAGTGAAGTAAGATATGATAACAGTTTACTTTGCTGTGAGCAAATAAAGATGAATGTTTAACTTTTAAAACATTGATTAAGATTGATAACAATAACTCGTAACAATTGCACATTATCAGCCACATTTTAAGAACTAAGCGCAGAAACTTGTCTGTTTTGGGACATGCTAGTTCTGATAATATTAAGAGCTAACATCAAAACAATATCCTTGATTACAATGAGCGGAATCTTTTATACATTCAAAAACGAAGAAAAATATTTTTGAATCGTAAAGAAAGCACACTAATATATAGACTATTTCTGTTTAATTATAACTGTTTCAGTTATTTATTTTATATTTTATTTTTTTTAACAGTCTCGATGTAGAAGTTGCCAGATCAGAGATATTAATGATTTTTTGATAGATTTCAGTTGAATAAACTGAATTAAGTTAGTCACGATTTTGAATAATTAATTCACAACACCTCTTCATCAAGTAAAGCAGATGTTATCCTTAATTCAGCCTTATACATGCATATCATGTTAATTAAAATGTAAGAAAAAGTTTGGCATTATCACAATTTTTTCCATGTAATGATTTTTAATACTACTACTTTTCAAAAATAAAAATAAAATTTGAAACTTCTTTATTAAGCAAGCAGCATATAATATACATATATGCATACAAAAACAGTTAATCTACTTATAAACCTTCTACTTGTGATCTGTCTGTCACGGTATATAAACTTGTGTATAATTAAGAGCAGAAAAATTTAATAAAGGATATTCATTTTCGAATATCATAAAATNAATATTACAATAGAATACATGTAATATCCCAAAATTTCTGGAAGTAAATATCACAAAATGTCAATAAAAATTTTAATAAAATTCACATTATTAATATCTAATTAATCTATCGAATTTACGTTTAATTTAATGTTAAAATAAAATAATTTTACCACAGATTTAATTTTAAGCTAGAACTTATACTGAAAAATTGATATATTTATACAATAATATATCTAGTTGCTATTTTTGATAGGAAATTCTTAGTATATAAATACATAAATCTAGTTAACTGAGCAGACATGAGTATGGAATAATCTATGATCAAAAATAATTTTCCATCTGATTTATTACTTTGAAACGATACATTTTTTTTTACGTTTTTAGTTTATTAAAATAAGCTTATTTTAAGGCATAAAAAGTTGGCATTTTAAGTGACTTCTCTATCGAACTGATCCAATCATTCCAAATATGCCTCATAACTATAAAATGTCAAGAGATAATGTTTACTTGTTAGTTTAAGTCTGGCTTAAGGCGATGACAGCGATAGATTACACAGATAGATACATCTACAAGCATGTAAAAGGATAATTGTATTGTTATAAAAGTTTTACTTCTTTTAGTTTCTCATTTGAATCACTAAATTTTCAGTTCCATCGGATAAATCTGAGAATGAAAAATTATCTTAACGTATCTCTAACGAATCAAGACTTAAGCAAAAAATTAACCAGTGTTGCAGCAACGTTTCTTTTAAAACGTTGCTGTATGTTTTTTTTTATAAGTTGCTTTGTTAATCTTACTAACAACAAAAGCCGCTATTGTTTCCGTTTAATGCGGTAATGATGACTGAATGTACATAGTTAAACGTTGCCTTATAGAAAAAGATGTGTAACGCGCATGAATATCATTAGAACTGTAGTCCAACTATGTCAAGTATGAGCGTGAACGTAGGTAAGTAACCATTATGAACAACTCACTAGGGTTACCGATCTTAATAAAATTTAAAAAATGAAAGATATATAACACGTTATTTTAAATAAACTGAAAACTGCAGCACAGATAAAAGATGCGATTTTGTATATTGATAAGTGTCTAACTCTTAGCTTTAGTGCAGTTTCCGCCGACAAATGAAGAACATTTTCGTTATTATCCGTTAAAAAATAAATAAAGTTTCTTTAATAATTAGTTTTTATATTATTTATTTGCTTTTTCATTGTCATGGTTATTTAACGAAACTATTAGAGGCATCGATTAACAGGAATTTATTTTCTAGGTTTAATTAGGTGAAAAAAATTACTTTTATTGAAAAAGGTTTTTTTTAAATAAACGATGTATATTTATTTTTGTTTTGTTTTTCAAAACATAACTTTTATTGTAATAAAATTTCAATTGGAAATGCTTTCAAATAAACTTTACAAACATTCAAATATAATTTTAAAAGAATTTATATGTCATTCGAAAACTTTGGATTCGATTTTAATGGTGAAGAAATATATCAAATTAAATTTTATTCTAATTAAACATTTTATAAAAATAAAGCGCAAGTAAGAGCGTAAATGTGACTTATAAAAGAAAAACTATAGGCGTGTTCTCGTATACAATTAGACCTTAGTTCGACATCATCTTTCAACTCTCACCTGTGATTATCGGTTGAAGATAATATCTTATACATCTTAAAAAGTGAATGCCATTAAATGGCAGGTGTCCCTTCAGCGCATGAATAATTTAAATGATGGTTTGACCAATGATAAATGTGGGAAAATATATTAGTAAATGATATAAAATTCGAGTTGGAATATAGTTAGATTTCTATATGCAGTAATTTATATATGTGTTATACGTGTTTCAATGTAAGGCTTATTAACCATAAAATTTAGCCTAAAGTCTCCATTGACCCTTTAAGGGCGTATACGATTAACCTGAAAATCTTAATCTCATTAATTTCAGATAGTGAACAAAAATTTAATATTTAGGCCAATATTACATCACGTTTTATAATTAAATTTTAATTAGATAAAACAGATTAACATTTAAAAAATAATTGATAAGTATATATTTAAAACATCAAGAATTAACTAACTTGTAAGCTAAATTATTATTATTATTATTATTATTATTATTATTATTATTATGTGACATATAAACATTTATTTTAGGGAACAAAAATTTTGCTCAGATCAGAAACGAACTCTAGAACTTGATACTTGCTAAATGTTAATTGACTTTATACCCGAAAAATTAACAATTATCTACACAGTTTATACTTAAATCATTTTGATTCTGCTACTGCTATTAATGCATTTCTCTTAATTACGGTTTATGTATGTAAAAGTATAAACTTTTTAAACACATATGTAACAAAATAACCTTTCTAACAAAGTTCTGCAAGAGGTCACTTGGCCATATTAGACTCCACCTTTATCAATTCTCCAAATAAATGGGTGGTGCTATATTGCACCTACTTTTTGTTGTACTAGTTTTGGGTAGTTTTTAGTACTACACGAATCTCTTTTAAACAAGTGTCAACTGCAATTCATATTACTAATTTTCGAACATTTTTTCCCTATTTTTTCAAGATGATGGATGAGAAAACTAAATACAGAATATCTTTAAGTAAATCTATTAATATTCAACTCTTTTTTTTCTATTTATTAATTTTTTAAACGTGTTAATTATTCGAATACATTAATTATATCTGATAAAATAATTCATCTCTGTATAAATAATTATTGCATAGTACGTCGTTTTTTTTATAACCGTAAGAAAATTAAAAACTAATCTATCGACTTGAAAAATACAGTTTCTATAATGAAATTTTATAAGAAAATTATTTAAAGATGTTCCATAATGATCAGCAAAGCCTTTTGTATAGATATTGTGCGTTTTAATGATCATTAAAAGCGATAATGTTGGCTACGACGTGCAAAATTATATTCGTTTTCTATAGCTGATTATATTCTCCATATCTGATCTATATCAAGTCGCCTCATTAATGTTTATACAAGCGAACAGATAAGAAAGTTGTTTACAATTCAGATTTGTGAAAGTTGAGTTTGAGCCAAAGATCATCTTTAAAAAATTGTTATGCATGAAAAATAATAGTCGAGATAACGGAAGAAAATACTTCAGCTATACTAGAAGCATTAATTTTTCAATTAGAATATAAATTTGATAATGTCTAGAACTTCAAAACTGCTTCAAGAACTTGTTTTAGATAAGGAGTTCGTGTATGGTTTAGTCAATAGAGAGATTCGTATAAATTAAAATTGTGTCAATGAACTTGTAAAGCTTCCACTCTTAAGCATCACCTAATGTAAAAAAAATTAGAAAATAAATAATTAGACAAACACAGAATCCTAACATCTTCATTTATTTAACTATATTTGATCAATTATTCCCATCATAAATTTCATATCATAACATGAAGTTGACAGGTTGTTTTCGGAAAAAAATGTTAATTGACTTTATACCCGAAAAATTAACAATTATCTACACAGTTAATTGAGCAATCTTCAATAATTTGAAGAAAACTATTATTATAAATAAATAACTTACCCTTCATTCTTCCTCTTATTTATACAAAAAGTACATTTCTTCTTGGTTCATGCGATGCAGATTTTAACATATAAATAAATTAATTTGTTTTTTTTAATTTTTTGTATAAATATAACAAAGAGATCAATAAATTAAATTAAATTTATTCCTGATGTGTTCCTACCAAGCGTGAATAATGCTAGATGTGTATGAGTTTGGAATCAATTAAACGTCAATTTATATGTTTATAGAAGCGTGGCACTTAAAAGAGTTATTCAAATTTCTTTAAAAATATCATCGAAACTGTGTTTTAGATCGTCTACCCACTTTCCTGATATTTTCTTTCCGCTTGAAGAAGTGTCGAATGTCTTCACCCATCCCACTTCTTTGGTGTGACCAAAAGAATCTCCACCGTCAACCACTTTTTCTAAGCCAAATCCTTTAGATTCTCCGTGAGCCGAAGTTTTTCTTTCGTTGTAAGTGGGTCTGTCGTAACCTCGATGCCAATGAGGACGATATCCTCTGTGACCCCATCTGTCACCCGGGCTATCACGATAACGGTAATGTCTTCTGAAGGGCGAAGGTGGTGGTGGAGCCCAGTCGCGATGTCGATAATGATCTCTGTGGGAGGAATAATGTGGTCTGTAGTAATCCCTATCTCCCCAGTCGTTATAAGGTCTTCTGTAGCCACCATATGATCTAGAATGGTAAGAAGGATGTCTGTTCCATCTCGAACGACCCCATCTCGAATGACCGAATCCGTGGTAACGATCGGGATCATCGAAAACGTCTTCGAAGAATTTTCTTGGATCTCTGTCGCCTCTAGGATAATAAGAATACGATCGATATCCTTCAGAGACTATCAATTCTTCGCTTTTCTCGGCATCTTGTTCTGCTTTTATGGCAGCTAATGACAGTAGAACAAACAGTCCTACCTACAGAAAATAAAATAAAACAATTTTTTTATCCAAAATTAATTATTGCCAAATAAATTATATACTTTGAAACTCAAAACACATTTGTTAAACTTTGGAATATCAAGAACAATTTTCATTTTCAACTGATGGACTTTCGAGCACGAAGGAATCCATAAGATATGCAGCTAGAACGAGTTACAATTAATGAATTCCTGCATGTGATGTGTATGAGTAATATTTTTCTGGCCATAAAAAAAAATGCAAAAATCTTAACAATATATGAACATTAGTTTGCTTGTCGAATTTCATCCTTAAAAAAAAATTATGAATTTCTTAAAATGCTGGTTTTGTTATAGATTTTTCTATATCAGATTCATAATCTGCAAATGATCTTCATCTGTTAAACTATCATTAAATATTGGCATTTTTATCTCGTATGCTTCACTTATTATTAATTAACACGTGTTTAATGGTGAATAATAATCACCTCTGACCTTAACTCATTAAGCAACAAGTTTAAGGTGTTAATATACTCAAAATTGATTAAATCCTTAACAATTTGTTTCCTGTATAAGAGAGTCATTTGATAGTCACTTTTACTTCCTTGTCTCAGAAGAGACACACCCGCAGTAAGTATTTTAAAAACATTAATTACTAAGAAGTATATAAACAAATTCATTTTAATTATTTCTTTTCAAATTCTCTTTTATTATTTGCATTTTTTTAAACTACTGTTTTTAAAATATATTTTAGAAAATAATTTTATAAATTAAAAAACGTTTTTTAATTTAATCGAATTTTTAATTTTAAAATTCTTTTCAATATTTATTTTTTTAATTAACGAATTAAAATTTACAAAGTTTTAATTTGTAATAAACAGTAAAATATGACTTAATATTAATAACAACAACGTTAAGCTTAATTTAAACTATTATTACAGTTTAATAAGAAGTAATTAATTAAAATAATATTTGAAACGTTATATTATCTTATCTAATAAAATTTATTTAAATGTTAATTTTAAAATTAATTCTTATTAATTAATTATTTTTATACGTATATTAATTAAAGCAATGTTGGCAAATCTTACCTTTAGCAACATCGCTCCTGCAACTGATTTTTCCAAATCAAGTTGTAGTCAGACGGAATATGTTTGGTTGAATGGTATATATACGTCCTAGAGTCAAATCGACTTAAAAACTCCCAGTAACAGACTATTGGTCTATGAGAAAGGACCCCATTTTGACCTATCCGGATCAGTTTGGGGGTCATTGCTTTGCAACAGTGTCTCAATGGAGATGAAGTTTGAAAACGCTCACCTGCGGCGATATTATAAAACCCTATAGAAAAAAATATAGGTTAAAGGTTTTTTTAAAATAACCTGAATTATAAAACCGGTCGAAACTTTTCGGTATTTATTCAGAAAACTATAGTTCTTATTATCCGCCATTTTTCTTTCGTTATAAGCAAATGGCGACCTCGAACTTAGCATATTTGAGGTCGATAAAAAATCGTTATAAAAATTCTCCATAAAAATTTTTTTTAATACTTTTATAACTTTTAAAGTAATTTGTAATTTTTAATAATTTTTATTATTGTAAATTTTTTTTGTTTAATTTATAAGATAACGGCTTTAACCCTTTGTGTAAATGTACAAAGTGGTCATAAACTGGTATGAGTTAAGGTGTTAAATGTGTTCAGATTTTGAATAATTATATGATTGGTTAATCACAATTACTGGGTGTTAATTGTGTTATCGGGACACAATTTGATTGGGCATTATAAGAATTAAAGTTAAATGTCATTTTAAACGCATTAAAAATAATGTAATAAAGTGTTGATCACCTTTCAAATGAATTCTTGGAAGGATGTAAATGATGATTATGATGATCTCTTGATTATACCGAACGATTGTATTGCACTGTGTAATTAACCTATTGAAAGTAAAATACAATTCTTACGTGTTAAGTATCTTTTAAATAACATATGCCAACTGTTGTAATAACAGTTATTATAGTTGCAGATGCTTTTTATGTGCGTTATCTTTTGTCCTTCGCTTAGAAAATTCATTATTAAAATGCTTAGTTTTTATATAAATAATATTCACAAGAGAAAGATTATTATTAACTACAAAAATATATTTAAATATTCAAATAAAAACAATAATTAAATGTTGTTTGATACATTTTAATTTGAGAAAATAAATTATGATTTGAATATAATAAGAAATTCACTATTCGGTTAATTGAGTTAACATTTTAAAACATTGTTTTATTATTTTAAATACAATACAGAAAACGAAACAAATACAATTAAATATAAATAATTTTAGAATTGTATTTTTACAATTTTGATCTTTGTTTTAAAAATTTCAAATAATAATTATAGATGTTTCTTTAAATATTAACCACACCTTTAAAACTTAAAAAAAATTGTTTTTATATAATTTAGATCCACGTTTTAGAAAATAATTGAAGGTATAACATAGGTCATTCCATTGTTCTGGTAGTTTTAAGAATTTAAGTCCTTCCAGATTCTCATTAATGAACGAAAAACTAAAAGGGCGTGCCGCTTTTATATATTACTGTAACTTATGTGCGACATTTAACATAAAAATTTCAAAATACCACAGATGTGACCTGTAGAAATGTATGTCCTTTTTATCACGACAGCTACTGACTTGTATTATTGTCTCTTTAACTGGTCTTTAATAAGCATTCGCCTATGATACTTGTACTGAAAAGTTACATTTGCAATTAAGATATACAACTAACGAGTAAGATTTACCAAACTTTATAATAATTCCATCATTCAAATAATACACAAATTATGAATATTTCTGATTACTTTTATAAATGTTGTAATATTTTATAAATAAAATAAATTTTTACTTCTATTGAGGTTAAATTAACTATTATATTTAAAATTGTTTGTCAGTGTTCTATATAATTCTCCACATCTTAGCTATCTCAATCAATACATTTAAAGAAATTTGAAAATAAATTGTTTTTAGAGTTTCGTTAATATATTTGAGTTTTTATTTATATTTTTATTTAAAATCTTTATTGAGAAATTTAGAAAATCCAATAGGAAATTTCTGAAGATCCTTAAATCTAGAAAGTTGAACTTTAGATACAATGAACTTTCTTTGAAGCGTAACGATTGTTTTAAATCTTTCGACCTCTTCAGAATAGAGATTATCCTTTAATTATTTCTATCGACTTACCAAAATCCATTTTAAAAATGTTTAAAATTTTCATAATTTCCTGTATTATTTAATCTATATAATAATACTTTTAACGCGTTAAAACACTCAAACTTCTAATATATTTTAATACATTATTCTACTGTAATTTTTAATCGAAATTATATCTAATTTTTATTTTAAATAATAATTATTTCATTGTTTAATACATAATATTTTATTCAATTAAAAATCAAACTTATAACTTTAAGCGTATAGGCTACAGTTAAAGATCTTTGAACAAGGGCCGCTGAGAGAAATAACTTATAAAAAAAATGGTCATTGTTCGATGGTTGTCGTTGTTTGGAGTTTATTTTGTATGCAATTTTATTTAAAAAATAAATAAATAAGTTCCTTAAAGCTATTTAGAGGTAACCGTTGTTGGAAGTTCGACTGTATAATTAATATATTGAGTCGTATTATTTCTAAAACTCATTTAAAAATTGTTTACATTTCTCGACTTTAAAACGATTAATAATAAAGATAAGTTATTCAAAAAATTAAAAAAAATAATGTGTACAAAAATTCGATTTTAGAATATTATAATTTTAAACTGCTAATTCTGACAATTTATAGAATTTCTTGAGAATTATAATAATTATCTCGGGATTTTTGCAGTTTTATCTGTTATTTGACGATATATTTAAAAAAAAAATTGGTATTTTTTAAAAATTATATTCTCACGTATCGAAGTTATAAGATATATCATTTTCCAAATTTAATCCTGTAATTATATAATCATAAATTTATGAAGAAATGATATAGAAATATTAAAGTAAATGAAATTTTTACTCGGATATTGTTATAGCTGATAAATAGATCTTTGTAATTTTCGTGTAATAACTTTTCATTTATCAAATGTACAGTTAATTTATCATTTCTGTTGTATGGAGACGTGAATTTTCTTACTAATTCGTTTATGACACTTTCCATTCATTCATCATGATTAACCTATTTTACTTCGTCTTTCTCTGTAATTTCTTCATTTTCACTTATTTATCTACTTATTTTTATAATGATAATGCATCAATCTATTAATTAAAGTATTATCATTATATATTAATATGGGTATAGAAAAATCTGTTTTTTAATTAATAAACCAAACTATCTGCAACGTTATAGTCTTATGCTATATATTGCATACTGGGATGCAATAATCGTAGCGAAATATCACGCTTAACCTATTTCTTTCTATAATTTTTTTTTGTATTTATTTACTTATCACACATAATATAATATTCTAACTATGAATTTATTGCACATATTACTCACATTATCCAGGAACGTTGTTTATCTTCATAAATAAAAAGAGAACTGAAAATTTTGTACAATTTGTGTGTGATTTAAAAATTCAAGCAATAAATTGAAGTTTCGGTTATTATAAAAGTAGATTTTATTCTGCAGTTACCGCAAATTGGTTATTGCAGATTACTATACAACAATTATAACGCAGTATCACGATCATTGCATATTGCAGGCTCATTATGATTACATACGATAAACAATTGTATAGAACAAACTAAAATTTTGTTTAAAATGCAATATATTGCATATTAAATATGCAATAACTATAAAAAAATTATATTTAATCCATTTATTTATTCAATATCTATGTGGCACTCATTTCAATACCACAAAAATAACACCAACGAAAGTAAACACATAGAAATCACTTCTAATTTTCTTAAAAAGAACTGAATAAGAGGTTGTCAGCGTATTGGTACGTAATTTATCAAATTTGCCAGACAAGTTGGACAGGCATAAATTTACTCATAGCGAATATTTTTTGAAATAAAAAAACCCACGTAAAATCACGTGACATTTAATGACTTCTATTAAATTTTATGTCTATTTTTACGATTTTACGATGTTTTTTACGTATTTTTACTGCTGGAATCCACGTTTAATATCTACGAAAACATTTTTTTAGAAGAATTGACGAGTTATAATAAGAAAAACTAGTTAAAGAACGAGAACTATTTTTAAAATATCCTTAATGAAAAAGCACGAGTTAATGCTATGAATAAGTCAAGAGTAAGAAAAGTAAGGAAGAAGATTACAGGGCTTGACCACGTGATTATCTCGAGCCTTCGATAAAATGGTACCAAAATCGAAACGCCAAACATCCCACGGGCTTCAAGTATCTAATAATATGATAAGTATCATTGAAACTCACACATAAAATAGATATTAAGATTGGCAATATCTTTCATTAACCAGAAATCAATATCATTGATATAGAACTTTATACGAGGGTGCAATAAATACTGATCAGATCGATAGCTTCTATTTAATAAAAGTAATAAATTGATTATCGTAAAGTTCTTTTCCTTAATTTTTGCATCATTAATTTGCATATCATTTAAAAATTAAATCGAGATATCAATTTAAAATTAATGCATATATTATGTTAAAAGTTCTATAACAATTTTTTATTGCTTAATTACATTTTAATGTATTTTTAAAGCGTCTAATGAATAAAAACGTAATATTTTAATGCTTTATACTATAAAAATTTAATTATTTTTAAAGTTAATTAGGCTATAATTTTAACTGATTAATAAGTTAATTTATGTTTTAACTAGGATTTTAAAAATTTATTTTAAAAATATTTAAAAGATGAGTACATAAATATTTTACATAATGAATTTATAATGAATATATTATCATTAATTTCTATAATTATATAACATATAATTTCTACCTATTTTATATTATGTACTGTAAATGTATGCATATTTATGCAAAAAAGCACCTGAAAACAAAAAAAGGAGAATGCGTTTAACAAAAAGGTTTAAAATTGACCTTTCTGTTAGACATATTTTTTTATTTTTTCAGCTCTTACGAACATTTTTCATCTATTCACTTTTTATAACCTACTTAACAGAATATAAAATATTAAAATTTATAGTAAAATTATTATTCTTCTAAAAAAAAAGCATGAATTTAAATAACGATTTTTAAAAANTGTTTAAGCATTAATGCTATTGGAAGTGAATATAGGTTGAGATCGACTTTTGTTTCACTCTCGAAAACGTATCATTATCGTTATGTTACACTTTGTACACATGTGACACTCTTAATGAATTCTTATAAAATATTTCTTTTCTATTCTTTTCTTAAGAAAAAAGTTGAATTAGATGACATGGATCCGAAAATTGTGTTTATATTTTCAGCTGTGTAAGTTGACTAATCATCAACTACACTTATAGACATATACAAGCGCTCATCCGCTGTTTGTGTGTTTCTATCTGTGAATTGTGTACACAAACATAAGAGCAAACGAGGCATATATTTCTAAGCGTGTACCTGTATTCATGCATATTTGAGTTTGCATGATTGTTTGTTAATACTTATATAATTCTGTGTGTCTTTCTGTGTTCTTTTAATATGATTGGTTTTGATTTGTATTTTATACATCTGTGCTTTTAGTTATACACTTTTGTTCGTATTGTATGTTTTTATTGTTAATTTGTGTATGCTTTATGAACTTACGTGATTAACTTGTGTTATTTTTTCGTGTGTTATTTACTCGGGTTGTTTGTTTTTATGTTGTTTATCTGTTCATGTATTCTTACATTTATTTATGTATTTGATGACTTATTAAAACAATTCTAGTTTCCAAAAATGTTTGTTTTTATTAGTTTATTTTAATAAATAAATTAGCAAGTTAATATTTATAAATAAAACATATATTAACAAAAAGAAAAGTAATTATTCTCTAAGTTTAAACATTTTTTCTTCGATCATATTATATATTCTGTACTGCAAATATAGGCTAAATGAACAATTTTTCATCTTTATTCAAAGCTGTTAAAAAAAGATTAATTCTTCTAGTTATAATTTTTTTTATTTGTTTTAAAGTAATTTATATCTCTTTGTTTTTACGTAGCAACAAATGAAATTATGTACTGTGGTATAATTAATAAATAATTTACGAAACTTAATTAAGAAAACTAGAATTCAATTTAAGTTATATTTAGTGGTAATTGTTAGAAAGTTAAGTGCATCTAGCTACATTATTTCTGTCGTAAATCCAATTCAAACTTCTCCACTAATGTAGAGTATAAATTATTCCTATAATTTCAAGAAATTAGAAGTATTTAAAGCTTTTATTTCCCTAATTTTAATGTTATTGTTCTTGAAATAATTTAAATAAATTTATTAAAGTTTGTAGAGCAAATAGTTTAGAAAGAGAACATAAAATAACGAAATTTTGTAATATAATATTTTACGATTTAAAGTTAACGAAATAATTTAAATTTATTTAGTATATATAAGAATACATTTCGATAAATTTCTTTCACTTATATTTTGTTTAGAACTTGTTTATGTATGCACTAAACAAACTAAGGTTAGAGCCTCACGTTAGGAGTCTATTCTCATACCTATCTCTCTATACATATTGCTCATTATTGTTTGGTGAAGGCGGAAGGACCCCCTTGTATGTTGTAACCACAAAAGTCTAAATCCGGTTGATTTCGTTTTTCATAATACCGTACAAATTTCATTTACATTGTATTAGAATAATTTTCGAAAATTAAGAAAAAAATTATTACATTGATTTAATATAAATGGCTACGCTAAATACAATACAAGACGATACAACTCATTGTATAGAACAAACTAAAATTTTGTTTAAAATGCAATATATTGCATATTAAATATGCAATAACTATAAAAAAATTATATTTAATCCATTTATTTATTCAATATCTATGTGGCACTCATTTCAATACCACAAAAATAACACCAACGAAAGTAAACACATAGAAATCACTTCTAATTTTCTTAAAAAGAACTGAATAAGAGGTTGTCAGCGTATTGGTACGTAATTTATCAAATTTGCCAGACAAGTTGGACAGGCATAAATTTACTCATAGCGAATATTTTTTGAAATAAAAAAACCCACGTAAAATCACGTGACATTTAATGACTTCTATTAAATTTTATGTCTATTTTTACGATTTTACGATGTTTTTTACGTATTTTTACTGCTGGAATCCACGTTTAATATCTACGAAAACATTTTTTTAGAAGAATTGACGAGTTATAATAAGAAAAACTAGTTAAAGAACGAGAACTATTTTTAAAATATCCTTAATGAAAAAGCACGAGTTAATGCTATGAATAAGTCAAGAGTAAGAAAAGTAAGGAAGAAGATTACAGGGCTTGACCACGTGATTATCTCGAGCCTTCGATAAAATGGTACCAAAATCGAAACGCCAAACATCCCACGGGCTTCAAGTATCTAATAATATGATAAGTATCATTGAAACTCACACATAAAATAGATATTAAGATTGGCAATATCTTTCATTAACCAGAAATCAATATCATTGATATAGAACTTTATACGAGGGTGCAATAAATACTGATCAGATCGATAGCTTCTATTTAATAAAAGTAATAAATTGATTATCGTAAAGTTCTTTTCCTTAATTTTTGCATCATTAATTTGCATATCATTTAAAAATTAAATCGAGATATCAATTTAAAATTAATGCATATATTATGTTAAAAGTTCTATAACAATTTTTTATTGCTTAATTACATTTTAATGTATTTTTAAAGCGTCTAATGAATAAAAACGTAATATTTTAATGCTTTATACTATAAAAATTTAATTATTTTTAAAGTTAATTAGGCTATAATTTTAACTGATTAATAAGTTAATTTATGTTTTAACTAGGATTTTAAAAATTTATTTTAAAAATATTTAAAAGATGAGTACATAAATATTTTACATAATGAATTTATAATGAATATATTATCATTAATTTCTATAATTATATAACATATAATTTCTACCTATTTTATATTATGTACTGTAAATGTATGCATATTTATGCAAAAAAGCACCTGAAAACAAAAAAAGGAGAATGCGTTTAACAAAAAGGTTTAAAATTGACCTTTCTGTTAGACATATTTTTTTATTTTTTCAGCTCTTACGAACATTTTTCATCTATTCACTTTTTATAACCTACTTAACAGAATATAAAATATTAAAATTTATAGTAAAATTATTATTCTTCTAAAAAAAAAGCATGAATTTAAATAACGATTTTTAAAAAATATTTTTAATAACCTAGTAAAATATTTAAAAAAAAAAAAAATTACAAATGTAAATCATTTTAAAAAATCATAATCAAAATTAGATCGGACTTTTGTTTCACTCTCGAAAACGTATCATTATCGTTATGTTACACTTTGTACACATGTGACACTCTTAATGAATTCTTATAAAATATTTCTTTTCTATTCTTTTCTTAAGAAAAAAGTTGAATTAGATGACATGGATCCGAAAATTGTGTTTATATTTTCAGCTGTGTAAGTTGACTAATCATCAACTACACTTATAGACATATACAAGCGCTCATCCGCTGTTTGTGTGTTTCTATCTGTGAATTGTGTACACAAACATAAGAGCAAACGAGGCATATATTTCTAAGCGTGTACCTGTATTCATGCATATTTGAGTTTGCATGATTGTTTGTTAATACTTATATAATTCTGTGTGTCTTTCTGTGTTCTTTTAATATGATTGGTTTTGATTTGTATTTTATACATCTGTGCTTTTAGTTATACACTTTTGTTCGTATTGTATGTTTTTATTGTTAATTTGTGTATGCTTTATGAACTTACGTGATTNACGTAAAATGTAGAAAAATTATAAATATTTGGTATTGGTTCATTTTAGAATTGAACCCTTCATATATAGTCACGACTTAATTGATGTTGCCTATCCTATTAATTTTCGGGGAAATAGCCTGAGCTATTCGTAAGATAAAGCTTTAAGTTGTAGCTTATTTGTAAACACGGTCCCGGTTACGAACCACTTCTCGTGCATGTAATTGCATCATATTATGAATGCTTTTCATGCGAAGTTCTTTTTATATTGCAAAGAATGCAAATCTTACTTGTTTAATCTACCTATCGACAGTGTCGCATTGCATCGCGTTCGAATGACGTGCGGAATTTACCCAGAAATTTTAAGTTAAAGCGTTATATGTGATAAGAAATGAATTAATAAAACAAAATATCATTTGCATTTTATGTAAATTAAATTAACTTTCGTATAAAAATTAAATTTAAAAAAATAAATAAGTTATAAACTTTTTAATTTCCATACTTTACAAATATTACAAATTTTTTTGCAACAGTTGCAGATTTTTGCATATCCCGCCATAAACAGGTATTCATTCTGCTTTTCTGCAAATCATACATTTAAATATATTTATGCATAGGTTTTTAAAACAGGTATCTCATCAAATTTTCCATGGTGAGGTACATGATTATAACCGTCGTAATCATAGTGATGACCATGATTTCCCATCAATGGTTTTAATAAATGGGATGCAAAACCATCGGCGTGATGATAGGGTTTCTTGAAGTATTCGAGAACCGGTGCTTTGTAGTAATATCCGTTGTACATAGGCTTATGATTTGCATAAGCTATTTCGCTATGAACCCCGAGGGACGGAGTGTGATGGTATGGATAATTTCCATATCCTACAGGATGATGTTGACCGTAATACGCACTTTCTGCGATAGACTGATCTGGTTTATCGGCTTTTTCATCGGCAGATTTAGTGTTTAAGGTCTCATCGATTGCAGAAACCACTCCTAAGAGAAGAATACCTAGACTTATAACGTAGATATGCTGAAAATTTTAAAAAAAATCTATTGTAATGACTTTCTTCTGCGTAGAGATGAAGAATATCTAGTAAATTACTTACCATGGTGAACTCAACCAATCGACTTGAATGAGAGTGTGATAAATTTGAAATTTTCGAGCCTTTTATAGTGACGAGAAAGGCAATAAATGATGTAAAGGGGTGAAGTACGATCGCGTGCGTTCATCCGTAAGAGTTTCTACATTACACCTTGAAAAAGGATATTTTTCATCCCCTTATAAATTGCTTTATTTAAAAACTTGTTAAATTTTATTCACTTTGAGTTAAACAAGGAATAAAAAATACATTTATTTTTCCTACTTTAATAGCTTAATTACTCAATGTTTTAAAATGTCCTCGTCTTCGCTGTTAATGAAATATGTTATTTATATTTAAAAAATGTGTAAGCTGCTTACTTTTGCTGCTTATAAACTGTAAATTATTATAAATAGAATCATAGTCTATAAAAAAAATATTCAGTTTAAAATACAAAACAAAATTCAAGAATATTTCATCATCAATGCTAAGTTATTTGTTTCGTCGGTCGATCCGTTTGTCTATCCGCACGAATGATAAATATACAATATTTGATAAAATTCACTACGGAATTATGTTTGAAAATTGATTTAGAATACGTTTACATCAAAGAATTATGAACAAAAAATAACAATAATAAATTTTAACTGTTATGCAATAAATATTTACCTGAAATTTCGGAAAATAATGGTGCGAATTTTAGAGTAACAAAGCAGGATTAAATGATGGAAAGTCATTAAGTAAGTGAATATGAAAAATTCCCCCGAATCCATCTTAAAAGAAACGAAACAAAAACCTTAGATCACGTGATATGTCGTTGTATGATGTCACATTACTACCGAATGGCACAAATTTATCAGTAGTGTATAGATAACTGCCTTCCGCTCTCTCCCTATGACTCAACTGGAGTTTAATAAGAAAAAAATAAAGCAGAGAATTATTCTTAGATAACATTTATATCCGTTTCCATTTCATTTATTAAATTAGCAATCAATGAATCTATAGAATTTAAATAGCAGTTTAATCTGATTGTTAATTAATAAAATGTTCTGTTTTCTATTAACAAAACACAAATAATTGTAGAGTAATGGATTTTTATTTTTAAAGCGAGAATAGACCTTATTATAGTTATCATCATTATAATTTTAATAATTTTTGAGTCCCATTTCGCTTCAAAAGTTAAAAATTCTTTAAAAAATTCAACATTTTAATTTCTTATCTAATAATAAATTACTTGATATTTTTAAAGTATAATTTATTAAGTTGTAGCCAAAACATTACAACAATCAACGAAATTGCTTTGAATATTGATTCAAATTCTAAAAATTGAGTTCATGATTTTCTTAACTGAAGGCAAAACACATAAAACTAAATTCATATTATTATATTTTTATTGTAATTTATTCGAGTTATTTTTAAGAATTACGCTTTTTAATTTTTCCTTAAAATACAGGCAATGTTTTTGGCTTTTTATAAAGAAAATTGAAGCTCGTACAAAATGCCATTTTTTGTAGAATATCAATGTAAATTTATAGGATATATTTGAAAATTTTCATCCGATTTTAAGATATATTCCATAAAACATATAAAATTACTGGGGTATTTATGAATTTATCACATCACAACAAAATTTTGTTATAAGTATAAAGAAAAGTTTTTAATCTATATCCAGAAGAGCTAAAAAAAATTGNTGTGGTAAACATTGAAATTACCATTATGTATTTTCAGTATAATACAGCTTAAAGCTAACTATTTTATAACATTAGGAGAAAATAATTGTAAAAAATATATATGAATAAAATGAAGAAATTTTAAAGTTTATCAGGATCATCATTGGATAAAATTAAATACGAAGATTAAGAAATAAAACTTCTTTGTGTAAATCGTGACTATGCGATAAAGCAACATTCCTACTTTTTCAGATATGAGTTTAATTTCCCAGATTCTGAAATGGGTTGCTAATAATGTGGATATGTAAAGAAAAGATAACATAACCTGAAATTTTGACGCTTCTAACCTTGATGGATTCGAAGATAGAGTCGATGTAAAGTGGACGAACACGCAGACGGACGATGTAAAAACAGTGAGCGTTTTAAAAGATGTTAGATATGTCTAAAAATGATGTTAAATAAAGGGTTAGATATTCAAAAAGTGGTGGTTTGTTTTGTTATCCTCTATTCAAAAAAATGATTGTTGGTGGATAAAAAATTAAAAATAATGTTTAAGGTTCTGTTCAATCATTTCTCATTAAATTTATTCACATTGGAGATTTCTTTGTCCTTATTCTGCAGTATATTTTCTTAAACATTCATTATAGATGTGAATCCATAAATAACCTTGAAACAAAAGTAATAAGCCCTATCGACAGTGTCGCATTGCATCGCGTTCGAATGACGTGCGGAATTTACCCAGAAATTTTAAGTTAAAGCGTTATATGTGATAAGAAATGNTACTCTCAAGTCCATATTTAATGTTTCTGTCAGTAGCCGTTTCTGATATTTATAAATGAAATTTTTAAAGAATTTATAAAAATAGAAGCTGCTTCTTCATAAAATATTTTTAATGGAAAAATAAATATGTCAAATAATTTTATATGAGCTTTTACTTGAGATGAATCTAAAAATAAACAGTGCTTTCGTGTTTGATTCAGTGTATATTTATGCCATTAATATTTAGAACTTTATTAATTTTAACGAGTTTTGATAAAAATAAATTAAATTAAATTCCTTAATTCTCATATTTCAATACTTAAACACTAATGTTTCGTTATATTAAAATTTAGCCATTTAAACCTGAATACAAAGAAGTTTGTGAAAGACTTTGCTCATTACTTCATTAAAAAAAAATTAATTGATAAAAATTATATTAATATAAAATCATTTAATTAACAAATTTATAGAGATTGTATTACATAAGTATGATAAATAATTACATTTCTGTATAATGGGAAAATTTTCATAATATAAAATAAATTCCTGTATTTTTCATTTAACTTATTAATTTGAAGTTCAAATATATCAAAATCCGCTTGTCTTAAAATAAAATATATACAGTAAAAGTTATTTGATTCCATCCATGGCATTTATATACACAAAATTAAAATAAAGTTCAAAGAATTATAATTATTAGATTCGAATAAATAAATTAGGCGTGTTTATTTATTCATTAAATAAAAATCGTATTTATATTTAGTGAATAGGATAAGCCATTTGCAGATGATTTATCAGGAGTTGAGGCCTTACTAAATCATACGTAGGCTTATACATATTTATTTATTTTTAATTACGTCTTATATTACTAATTTCTGAGAACTATTTCGACTCTCTGTTCTCACAGAATAATAAACATTTTTGATATTTTCTTTATTTATATGAAGCTTTCTCCCTACTTCTCCCTACTTATTTCCTAATTAGTTTTATTTTTTCTTCTGTACAATTTTAGAAATTTTAAGTAAATTATTTCATTTAATTGTTTTATTATTTTTAAAAAATATTTTAAAAATATGGTTTTTTTTTTACTTACAAGAATATAAATCAAATTTGTCTCTTTTAAATATGAATTATCTCTTTAATTATTCTCTCTTTTTGTTTGTAATTATTCTGTCTTCTTTGAATTTAAATCTTCGATTCTCTACATTTCGCGTTGATTTATCCAGGAGTATAATTACATCAATTAATTTTGATTAAAACGTATTATTACTTTATATATAGGCCTATATATATTTAGAAAAGATCCATTCTAATCTGCTGTTTAATTAATTAACTTGCGAATTTCGCAGCGTATGAAAATTAATCATAATTAAGTTTTTAGCGATTATAAACATATGAAAAATGAGAATTTCATGATGTCAGAGTTTAACAATTTTTATTGTCATCTTATAAATATTTAGGGCTATGGAATGTACAGTACGTGTAAGGCTTACATATTTTTAGCTTAGTTCTATGTGTATAAATTCTATAAAGTTCTATGCAATTGTTTTCTTTGGTAATTCTAGAGCAGAAAATAATTTTTTTTGTCTTGAATTCTATTAAAACTTTTCACTTGTAAGTCAATTTGTAACAGCAAATTTTTGATGAAATATTATTATTAATTTATAATAAAAATTTGACAATATTAAAACACGGTTAAAATGTTGACAATTTATTATTTTACCATTTATTTCTTAAGCTTATTTTACGTCGTAAAGTGCTATACTCATCGTCGATTCTAAGAAAAAAAACTCATATTAGCATGTGATTTATTTACATTTAATTCTTTCATAGCAATTCTAAATAAAGATTATTATTGTCATATATTTTTAAAGTTTATAAAATCGTAAAACAAGTTTAATAATTTATCTAAAGTTCAATAATCTATACAGATCTTTTAAATAATTATATTGTTACGGGGTATATAAAGTCTAAAATATAATACAGTCGAACCTCCAATAGCGACAACCTCTAAACAGAAACAATTTTTTCGGGAACATTGAACAAAAATGCATACAAAGTAACCTCCAAACAACAGACACACCCAACAACGGCCATTTTCTATGTTTCCGTCAGTGGCCGTTGTTCATAGATTTGACTACATTAGAATACCTAGGCTACATATAGAATACATAAATAACACTCTAATACACTTTAGACTGCTATTTCAATACACGACTTCTTAATCACAAGAAAATGTCTCAATCTTTCATGATAGCCTATGAATAATGCTATACACGTGAATCAACAGACCATCGTCATTATCATCCTTATGATCATTATAGAACTATAAATGAATTTATAAAGTGCAGTTAAGTTGATATGGCAGCTTTCGAGTATTATACAAAAGTTTGGATTTACTTTACACATTCGTCTACAAATTATCAAGGAATTAATATCGTAAAACTTACAAATTTATTCATTTATCATAGATTTTTGTTAAGTTTTTAGTGAATTTTATTCGTTTAAATTATAATATTATAATAATTCTTTAATAAATGTCAAATTACTCTCAAGTCCATATTTAATGTTTCTGTCAGTAGCCGTTTTTTCAAGGGTTTTGCTGTATAAAAATTTAAAAATATTCTAAATTATGTATTAAAATCCTATCTAGACAATACGGAAAAATAATTTTCTCGTCACATAATGCGCTGATATATTAATTAA